ACAGTACAGATTGGAGACACCAAACCTCAATGAGGTGGACGGGAAGGGGTCGAAAGGGTCTCGTTGGCTTGAACTGCCTTGCTTGCAGTACCTAAGGTACGGAGTACTTACCTGCCCGGTCTTGTGCATTTGGTTCCAGCTGGCATTTTCCTCAGGCAGGCTCTCCGTGCTTTCCTGGGCCGTTTTGCTGTGAGACTACAACTGGGCAACGGGATTGGGTGGACTTGGTTTTGGGACCGCAGCTCCACCAGAAGGGGGCACGTGTGGGCCTGTTGCTATTCCGAATCCTTGAAAGGCCGTTTAACTGGCTTGGCCTGGCATTAGCTGCATCTTTTCATCCTCCACGTCCTGATCCTCTCTGCTCTCTTCGTACCGGATGCGAGTCCACAAGCTGACAGCGACATCGAGAAGTTTAAGAGAGCTGCGTCAACCTCCAGCCACACCAACCCACGACGACAGGGCGAAGCTGGTGGATGTCGGCAGGAATGCCCGCCACGCCACTCTCAGTCAGTCAGCCTGCAGCCTGTCTACTACTACAATTTCCCCTCAACGCTAGGCACTGTCGCCAATCGAAAGCTCAATCGAGACGTAAGGGGCGGACGGACGTCTCGCACGGAATCTCGGGACCCCGTCACATTTAGCCTCCTCTGACACGAGCCAACCTCAGAGTCCGCTTCTGCTCAATGCTCGTACGGATAGGCAAGTCATAGGGCACAGAGTATGCCCGCTCAGACCCCAGTAGCTCCAATGACCGCCTAGCCGACGCCAGGACCAGCGTGTTAAACGGTCAACACACACCAAGACCTACGGCAACGGATACACGAGGACAGACGATGGGCGATGGACAATGGAGACGGAGCAACAATGCCCAGGCTGTTCAGCAAGGTTTGATCAGGGTAGGACTAAAGCATCATCTCCCGTGCCATGACAGAACCTGTTTCTCTTGGCCATTTACCTCTGTTGAGTCGTTTCCGCTCCGATGATCTGTGATTACCTGTGGAGTACGGATATGCTACCTACCTACTCTCGCTCATCCCAAGTGAACAGACGAAATTTGATCCAACCACGGCAAATTCCTTCACCCCAGTAACCCCCGGCATTCTCCAAGATGCTGAAGAACTTGATCAAAGAAAGACCCATTTTCAATTCCAAAAGTGGCTGGGGCCCCCGTATGCGTATAGCGAGGAAACTATTCGACAACAAAATACCCCCCCTATTGTGGCTACCGCGTGTGCTGGGCCAACGGTCCCAGAGCCTACACCAGAGGTCCAGACAATCCGAACGTCCAATGTCGTCCACTCGTTCCCCAGGGCAGACATTCCAATCCCAGCCCGGCCGGTGCTGGACCCACCCGAATCTCGACGGACCCATTCGGGGAAACTTCAGTCTTCAGCACGGACCAGCGTCTCGCTGCCCTGCGACGTTGTTGCGTCACTTTCAGCTCTTTTCCAGCCACATCTGTTATCATATCTTATCTCGGGCTTATCACTTGCAACCCCAGCCACCAGTCCCTCGACCATCACAACCAACGCAGCCTTTCACGATTGCGACTCCAATCACTACTGACGACAACAACAACAACCCTCCACCGAATCCAAACCCATCTCCGAAATGGTCTGCACGAAGTGCCAAAAGCTCGGCAAGGGCTCCACGACCCTCGCGACGCCATCCGTCAAGAAGAAGAGCGAAATCTACCACGGTTCCTCCTCCTCATCCTCGTCGTCCTCCGCCACAAAGTCCGCGACGCTGGGCACGACCGGCATCGGCAAGAGCAAGCTCCTCTCCAAAGCCGCCAAGAACCCCTACGCTCAGTACTCGAGCGCCTGCTCCAAGTGCAAGACAAAGGTCTCTCAGGGCCACTCCCTCTGTCAGTCGTGCGCCTACCGAGCCGACTCGTGCGCATCGTGCGGCAAGCCGAACAAGAAGGCCAAGGGCGCTGCCCCGTCGATCGCGGGACAGAAGTTTACGTTGAAGTGAGAGGGTGTGGTAGATGATGGACGAAATGTAACAATGGTTACATCATAACAAACCAACGTTGTCGAAATACTCAACACGATGCCTTCATGAAGCGCACCTTGGATGCGACCAGAAGCTAAGAGCCGATCAGCCCGCAGGGGACCCTGAGCTGCAACGACGAGGCATTGCCCGGCGATTCAGATTCTGCGACATCGAGCAGCTCACTAACAAACGATACACGGCTCAATACACGCCAGGTCAGAGACGGGATGCAACAGGTGGCAAGCCTTCATCACCAGTCCATCAGTAGGCAGGAATCAGGCGCGAGTCACGAGGGCCAAGCAAGACATGTCATCTCACGACATCTGACATCACTGCTTCATCCCAAGCAAGGCCACAGCGGTGCGAAGTACAGATAGTCATAGCTCCAAAGAAAGACCTCAAGGATCAATCAACGCACAAGCTTTGCTTGGTCAAGATTCTGGAATTCATTCTACATTGGCCGTTCACTAATCGTTCCCGAAACCGTGGTTCATCCCTGCCTGTCATACATATAAACGTTAACGTCAAATCCAACCTCGCGCGGCTCTTCATTCGAGAGCCGCATTTCTTCTTTGCTTTTTTTTTTCCATGTCCCAAAAATACTCACAACGACGCCGTCGGCTTCTTATCGACCTTGCTCTCGATCCACGCCTTGATCTGCCTATTCACCTCCTCAGGCGCCTCCCACAACGCCCAGTGCGTCGCCGTCACCTCGCCCCTCGACAGGTCCTCAAAGTGCTTGTCCATGCCCGCCGCCATGGCCGGCGGCAGCGCCGCGTCCTTTGTCGCCGAGATGAAGAGACTGGGCGGTGTCACCTTGTACGCCTCGCCGCTCTTCTCCGCCGCCTCCGCGAGGGGCAGCTCCTCGTCGTGGTTGATCTTGCGCGTGCGGTACCAGTTGGTCGGCCCGCGCATGCCCGACTTGCTGAAATTGTCGGCGTAGTACGTAATCTCCTCCTCGGACAGCAGCGGCGTAGGGCCAATCTTGCCGATATTCTCCCAGATGATACCCCTCTCCGTGTTGAAGACGAGCTCGCCGCTGGGGCCCTTGCCGCCGTAGATGCCTTGCAAGAACTGCCGAATGTCCTCGGGCTTGGTGAGCTTCTCGGGCACCTCCTCGCTGCGCAGCTGGAGCTGGTACTTGAAGTTTGTCAGGCGGCCCGCGGCGATGACGTCGGCGAGGTCGAACCAGGCCGTCGTGGGCGCGTTGTAGGGCGTGCAGACGCTGAAGACGCCCTTGATCAGGGACGGGTGCCACATGGCGAGCCGCCAGACGAGCGCACCACCCCAGTCGTGGCCGCCGAGGATGATTTGCTCGCCCGGGATGATGCTGTCGCAGAGCGCCTTGATATCGTCCGACATGCTCTTGAGGGAAAAGGCCTCGAGCTCGGCCGGGGAGGCCGTCTGGCCGTAGCCCAGCGTGTCCGGGACGATGACCTGGTACCCCTGGGCGAGGAACATGGGGATCTGGTAGCGCCAGCCGAGCGAGATGTCGGGAAAGCCGTGGACGAGGACGACGGAGCCCTTGGGGGCCGCGTCGCCTTCGGGCTTGCTGTAGAGGTAGGAGTAGGTCTTGCCCCTGACCTCGGCCTGCTTGCGCTCGACGCGCGGGTCGTTGGGGGCGATCTTGTCGACGGCCATCGTGGCGTGTGGGTGTGTAAGTGTCCGTATATCAGTATGCGAGGTTTCCGTCTGGAGCGAAAGCTGTCAGAGGCTGTGGCAAAGGAGGAGGGGGGGAAGGAAGAAGAAGTAGGTGGGACAGGTAGCAGATGGCGGGGTCCGCGGGACTATTATACTCACGTTAGCTCTCGACGTCTGCCAAGGAAGGGACCCTTGCTACAATAGCTCAGGGACCGATTGTAAGCTTTCTCACAAAGCTATTGCGGGGAATGATGCAAGATGAGGTGTGTATGTGTTTGTGTGTGAGATAGAGAGAGTGTGTGCAGCTTCACCGACAATTATCCTACGAGATTGTCGAAAAGACAAAACTACTTATACCATTCAAGGTATCGCCGAGTCTCCGAGTTATGGAGCTAAATATCGCACTTTGAAACTTGCCCGGTTGCTTAGAAAGCTATAGAAACTGACCACCCAAGGAAGAGTAAGAGAAAAACATACGAGCGGTGTACTTTTGAGCCTCGGCATAGAACGTCCCATTTTCGGGTCTTCTCCCTAATGGTTTTTGCCCACTGGATATCATCGACTTGTTGGCGCCCACGCAACCAAGCTCTGGGTCCAGCGTATGGGGAGGTGTGCAAGGTGAGGGGCACGGCTTCGAGGTGACAGGGGACCTGACGTGCGGCGAGCGGCGGCATTGGCGAACGGCGTGGCCGGGCATCCACCCGCGCGGGGGCATCGCCTTTGCTGTCTATCGGAGTCCCTTGATGGAATCGTCCTAGCGGGCCCCGTCCGTGCTGTTGCGATGCCTCGGTCCAGGGACAACGTGAGACAAGGGGACTCGCTATTGTCGGACGGTTCTCGAAACGGGTGGGTGACCAATGTTATGTTCTCCAACAATTGGTTCAGAGTCGGAGATCGCACTCTCCTCACCCGAAAAGCGTAAACTGCCAGTCTAGATTCTCGACGGGTGGCTAACAATTCTTCAACGGCAAGGAACAGCTGTTCTGGCCTACGAGGTCCCACCGAGCTAAAGCAGGAGAACGTCACTGGTCTTATGCTTGAGTCAGAGAATATGGCTCGACGTAGTAAGCCGACAAGTCGGCGAGCAAAGTTGGTCTGAATCCCGTTTCTGGACCCAAGCTTCTTATTTTGTCAATATCACCATGGACACCTTTCCCAAGTTAATGCCGCTTTGAACTCCAATTGGTATCATAAACCCCCAACTCCGCCTTCAAACTCGCGCGCAAAACCAGATAAGATAGCAGACCTCCCATATCGCCGAATATTATAATGATCACATAAGTACCGCGGTAATGGCGTCTTCTGTAATAAAACGCCGGGGAACAAAAGAGGAAAACCCCTCCACGCGCTTTTGTTAGGCATTAGTAAATGACCGTATCCTCGTCGTTTTCCACGACATCACCAGGTTCGTCGTGTGCCTCCCGCTCATGTTTGTCTCTGTCGGGAGACGCAACGATGTGGTTGTCAGCTGCGGGAGCATCAGCAGGAGCCTCTGACAATGCCTCTGCTGGTTGTCCTTCTACGACCATGGGCACAGGCTCCTCCTGGGCCATCGTCGGCGATCTCGCGCGACCATGGCGTCTCTCGTGTTCTTCTTTCCGATATTTGAACGCTTCGAGTTCTCTCGCGATGGTGTCCTTGGCATCTTGCACCTGGTCGTCAATCTCGTCTTCTTGTTCTTTGGTAAGCTTCCACGGTCGATAGTACTACAACACGTCAGCTTATTGCTTTTCCCCTTACACAACAAGCACCACGCACAATTGATGGTCCTGCTTTCGTCCGGAGAGATTGTGCCTTTGCGAGCATGTTGGTATGTCGGGTTTTCATCTGCGGTAAAACACGACTTGTAAGCACTGGGATAAGGCCCGCAAGGGAGAGAGAGGAACAAGCACGTACGACCTTCTCGTCAAACAAGATCTGCTCCTTCCACCGCGCCTCGGTGATCCGCGCAAGCTTCTCCGTCCGTCTCTTTTCGTCTTCCGCCCTCTGCTTCTGCGCCTTCTCCTGCTGTCGCTGCTCAATCTCCCTCCTCTTCTTGTGCTGCGAGCTGGAATTAGTCTGGCTGAGGGTGCTGAGAAGACCTCCAAATAGCCGCTTGCCCCGCTTCTTCTCTTCATCCCTTGATAGAGGCGCTCGTCGAGCGGTGCTTGCTCGGGATTCTTCGTCGCGCGGCTTCGAGTCCTGTGTCGAGTCTTGTACGAGTGGTTCGCCGTGGTCGCCATCATTGAATTTTACTCTTTTTGATGATTCTTCCGCTTCATCAAGGGATTCTATCGAAGCTTTCCGCTTTTGTGTAACCTCCATCTCAGAGCTCGCGGGTTCGGGATTGATGATGTCGGCAGGTGCCCTGAGTTCTGTAAGCTTCTCTCGCTCGGTCCGAAGGGAGCCGTTCTTGCTGTACTCCGTGACTGTGGCCATAATGATGTCGCTTCCCAGCCGTCGTGGTTGATATCTAATCAGCAGCAAGTTCAAAGAAAGCAAAAAGCGAAGGAATGTGGTGTGCACAAGAAGAATCGAATGCGCCTCGGTCCCATGGTAGGTATTCTGGAGCTTGAGAGCTCCAACCGCGAGCTCCAAGGCTGAGGTTTGTCAGCGGGGTCCAGCCACTCGGAGGGACGAACCCACATACTACCCCACTTCGGCCGGATCAGACAAGGGTCCGTACCAATGACCGACAGAGAACCGCGAGGAAGAAGTGGCAAGGCTGACAGGCGCGAACGTCTTTTCTCCAAAGGTTCCTGGTGAAGAGAGGGTACGATAAGCTGCCACTTGCGACCACCACCTCCCGCGACCCGCAAGACAGCCTCAACCAAACCTCACATTTCAGAGGCGCTTCTCTCACAGATCGCCCATCATGTCGCGCCATCACCCGTAAGTCTCCCCGCATTCAAACCCTCTCAAAAACTCGCACACACAAGCTAACACATACGCCCAGCGATCTCGTAATGTGCCGCAAGCAAGCCGGCATCGCCATCGGCCGCCTCTGCGACAAGTGCGACGGCAAATGCCCCGTCTGCGACTCCTACGTCCGCCCCACGACCCTCGTCCGCATCTGCGACGAGTGCTCGTTCGGAAACTACCAGAACAAGTGCGTCGTCTGCGGCGGCGAGGGCATCTCGGACGCCTTTTACTGCTTCGAGTGCACGCGCCTCGAAAAGGACCGCGACGGGTGCCCAAAGATTATAAACCTCGGCAGCTCCAGGACCGACCTCTTCTACCAGAAGAAAACCAATCGGACGGCGACGTACTAGCCCCTGCGTCGCCCGGGACATGGGCAAACTGGTGTGTTGTTTGTAACTGCGAGGAGAGGAGAGGAGGAAAGAGAGTGCAAAGTATCGCGGGAAACAGGTATCGCATTGCCTGCGGCGTTTGGAGTGTCTTGGTTCACAGATATGGGATAAGGGTTTTGTGGTATAATTGACGAAAAGTCAAATATGATAATCTTCTTCAAGAGTAGCATGAAACTGTTTCACGAAACAAAGTAAATGGTTCATTTGGCGTAAAATATCAAAAAGAATGGCCAAATAATTAGGCCAATGTTCATCCAAGTTCGTATAGTACAGTGAGGTCAAAGCTAGCCAAGTACCCGCGTCGTAATCATATGTAGCTAACCTTGACTCCCATTCCCGCGGTCGCCTTGACCTTATTCCAACCATTACCAAGCACACGCTGTATCCGTTCGCGGACATTCTTCTGCCCAAACATGACGACCAACCCCAAAATAAAGGCCACGAGCCGCATCAGCAGCATCGGGTTTGTCTTAAATGATGCTCCCAGCTGGTCAATCACCTCGCGCATCCGAGAGATGACCATTGACGCCCTCGTTCCAAAGGTCGGCGGAGCTGAGGATTTGCCTTTTGCTCTGGAGACGGGCATTTTCGAATTAGAGTTGGACCCTGATGTGTTGGAAACGGCCCTGGCGTGACGTCCCTTGCTTGACCCCGCCTTACTTGAGCCTGCTTTACTCGGTGTCTTTTCGATGCCGTAGTCTCCCTCGGCGCCTTCTCTCCGTGCCCTCTCCTCCTCTAACCTTCGTCGTTCCCTCTCTTCATTTTCGGCTCTCAGCTTCTTCGCCTCCTCAATATCACGCCGTAGCTGCTCCTCTTGCTCACGTCGCTCTTCCGTCTCTCGCCTCTCGGCTTCTTGCTGTTCCTCCTGCAGGCTTTGCAAAGCTTGCAAGAACGCCTCGCGACGCTCGTCGTCTAATACCGAGCTGACGCTAATAAACTCTCGGGCATAATCCCATTCATTATTGCGAATAAGTACGTGGAGCGTGTACAGCTCGAGGATCTTGACTCTCGCGTTCAGGTCTCTCGGTGTATCCGCTCCACTGGTGGCCTTCGCCGGAGACCTATGCCGGTTCAGCCGTGGTGACGGCGATGGCGAGTCGGAAAATCTCTTGGAGAAGTCCAGGTTTGGTGATGTGGCGGCTGCGAGATAGCTCTCGAGCTTCTTTTGATTCAATTCTTGTGTCCGGGCGTGGGCTAATAAAAGTGTGGCACTACGTTGCTGTTAGTGTGTGTTTGCAACGAGGAAAAAACTGACGACATGGAGAGCATCTTACAGATTAATGACAACGTCCGAATCGACGTCGCTCTCGACGCCGTGGTATCCGTTGCGTACGACCTCCTCCCAGACGTCTCCTTCCCTAACTTTGGTGCACAGCGATCTCCACTCCTGGCTCCCAAACGCATCCTTTCCTTCGTCCGGCTCCAGTTCGACAATGGCGTTGAGCGTCGTCAGGTACAAGCTCCAGACCTTGATCCTCGTGGATCGCGATGCTCTGGCGACGGGCGCTGGTTCGCCTGCGCCGTTCTCAGACTGTCCCGAGGGCGGGGTGATCAATGGCAAGATGGTCGATAGTGCCTCGGGTAGACGGCGGGTGAGGAAGAGAGTCGAGGCCTGGCGGTAGGTCTTTGAGATTTGTGAAGTGTGGCGCGCTGAAGTCGATGAGGATAGAGACGAGATGGAGCTCGCGAGCATATGTGGTGGGAATGTAGCGGTAGTCTCGGAAGAAGCGACCGTGGGACTCAAGGTCGCCGTATAGGAGCCGTTGAGGGACGACATATTGGCGGGCATTTAGGAGTGGGAGGCAACAGCAGCAAGCAACGGGGTCAATTTGTCGGCATTGAAGAGCCCCAGGCGGAGGGAAATGAGGGAAAAAAGAACGGGGACTATTGTTATGTATCCGACGTGCGGAGAATGGCGGCCATCATACGCGTTCCTGCTCAAATGCCACCTGCGGGTTGTGACGAGAGCCGCGACATGTGGATGTGGTTAGATTCGGGTTCCTGGGCGTTGTGGTGGTGGTGTGTGATGTGTGTGTGGTAGTGGTGGTGCTGAGTAGGTAGGTAGCTGGGGGTTGCTGGAGAATGGAGTTGGAGTCTGCTGACAGACAAACATGCCGATTACCGCAGCACCTGCACAGCTGCCCGGGACAGGCACGCACCGGCACGGTTACACTTTTCGGCCATGGCCTAAGTTTAGCCTCGGTTTGTTTCTTAGTGGGTTCCCCCCCAGCTTCTGCGTTGCTGCGAGCTGACCGCCAGAGCAAGAGGGGGAGCGATAAGCGAGTACCGGTGACGTTGTCGCTGGACAGCTCACATGTCAAGTACCTCGTTAGCCTCCACGAGCGCGGTCTTCTCCCGGCGTCCGGCCTTCTTGGACTTCTCATTGGGTGGAGCTTCCTGATCGGGGAGGACGCTGTGCCTGGGTCGGAGAAACAGGGGTTGCCCTCGACGACCGGCCGAGCTTTCATCTCACCTCCCGGAGATCACCAACCATTTAGAGACGATCGTCTCATGCTCGCTGCCGCATGTCATTTCAAATCTTCGTGTTATGTTCAACCCGCCAAGTCGGGATTCCCTTCTCAATTACTGCTTTGCTTAGCTGGGTCTATTACGATATCCTATTAATTACCCCTCTCAACTGTCAATCGCAAGTTTGCGGCATGCGCGAACGCGCTCACGGTTTAGACTTTTCTTGCCCCCCCTGTGCTTCCCCAGATTGTTCCGAGGCATCTCGCGGGAGGCAGAACCACCCGGCTCCCGAGGAGAATGTCATCGCCTTCCAGCCCCTGACGCTTACATCGGTGATTTTGCTATTGTGGTCATCGAGAGACCGTCCATCTCTAACGGCTAGCTCCAAAGTGTTTTTTCGATGCTCATCTCACGTGGAATTTTCTTCGTTGTGGGGTTCTAGAACAGAACCATCTTATATCCCAGGATTCAGGAATCGCCGAGCCGTTGGGACCTGAAAGACTCATATTACAAGCTGGTGGAAAGGAGTGACCTTGGAATAACATGTCAAATGCTCTGTCGAATGCCGACGTGCTTTTATTGTGCTTCCGATCAGGTACTTCGTAGACTCATCTATCGAAAAATAGTTTTGCGGGGCGTCTCCAGAAATCCACCAAGGGTCATCCGTCCTCAACGACATTGCAAAACTCATTGACCTACGCGCAAACGCGTCTTCCTGTTAATGAGGTAACTGCCACCACCACCAACAGCCCAACGCGCGATTTCGCGTTGACTCTGCAAACTCTCCAATCCATGCCAACCACGCTCCGTCGCAAGCTCAACCTATTAGTCGGGTCAAAGGTAGACTGTCTTGCGGGGGGCGATCCGGATTCGGTTGTAAATGTAGTCAAATATTTTCGCACCGAACCTGATTCGACCCACGCACTCTTCCTGGGGGCTGGATTCTCTCCGTGTGTCGTTGTTAGAGTACCCCAAAGGTCGTGGGTCGTATCCAATCGCTGAAATCCACTCTCTGTCGTACAATCTCTTCACTTTTCTCTCGTGTGAGGCGAGTCGGCTCTCGAACGTAGTGATTCTCTCACGAAGGAGTTTATGAGCGATTCGTATAAAGACAACGGCCGTCATGTAACCTAGTGCCGTTAGTGAGTCACTCGAGGCTCTATTTGTTGTGTCAACTTACTATCGAAGCCTGCCTGATGGGCTGTTCCACGGCGTCCATAGCCATAAGCTGTATCCCAAGAGATGGTTGGCTGTGTTCTGTTGCGATCGAACCTATGGTGTAAATCCAACAATGGGTCTTCGCCCTCGATCGTGTCGTCCTTGATGGCCACCAACTTCGTGTCTATGACGTAGGGGAATAGTTTGTGAATCTTTGCTCGAAACTCATCCAAAGTATCAGGGAGGTCATCGATGAAGGTGTTGTAAAGGAACAAAAGGTCCATGAATTGGTTGTGTCCCATAACGGTTGGCTTGGACCATTGGCCCCAAGTTTCCAACTCCTTGAGAGCATCTGCTACTTCGCTCTAGAGTGTTCCCGTGGACAGTTCTTCGAGATCTTGACACAAATTGTCCCAGCCAGTCGGCTCATCGCAGCTGGTTGTCTCAGCCTGACAGGTACCACTGTCGCCCTCTCTGTATTCGCCATCGGCCGCTCTCTCTGAAGTGCTTGAGGATTCGCCACTGTGTCTAGCCGAATGGTCTTCGTCCTCTGAAGATCCCTCCGATTGTTCTGGTGACGTGGGATTCAAGAACTCATGCATCTCACGACAAAACGTTCGTGCTTCCCCAGGCCAGCCAGACATGGCTTCGACAATGTAGGCGGGGTCAATCAGGTCGGCAAACTTGCCTCCGACGAGGGCTTCGATAATCAGTCGAATTCCCTATATCAGTCAGCCACCAAGGAAGTATCACGCGCCGAGAGTAGCCTACCTGTGTACTTGCTCAACGATGCGTTGAGATCGTCCTCCAGAAGCTCACGCCTCTTGGCGATGTCAGTTTTTTATATTCTCATCATCATCCGCGCCGATGTATACGAACCTTGGCTTCTTGTGCATCGTCCCGCTGAGAGATGACCACGGTCGTACCGAGGTTCCGAAGACGGCACCCCATGTGTGGTACAAGCTCTCGGGCCTTTCTACGAACAATTTCTTCGTAGACACTCATACGTTTCTTGCTGTCGGAGTCAGGTAAGAGGATGTTGATCTTTGGGGCTCGCTATTCGATCTGGCGATTAGTATATGTATTGTTAGGAGCAACAATTTTACAGGAAAGGTCTTTCGTGGAAGCATGATAAAATGACATATGCCACATACCATCCCTGGATGGGTGCAGAGCCAGTTCACAATCGTATTGTGGACGTAGACGCAAAATATAGTCAAGCCTTCCTCGTGCTCGTTGTATCTATGGTCCCTTACGTCCCAAGGCACTTGTCGGCGCTTCATCTGTCGAGTTGCCAAGCGGGCATCTTTGCGGCTCAGGTACGGAACGCAATCGTCGTAGATCTTCTCCAGTCGAATTTCTTCCGATCGAAGGAACTTCAGAGTGTTGTACGAGACAGAGAGATTCCTGTCCAGTTCTTTGACGAATTTCTCGTCAGCCCGTGTCTGGGTATGCGTCTGCAAGTGAGAAAGAAGAGATTGCAGCATGCTCAGACCTAGCCATCGTTAGATGGGAATTTCTAGGAGTGAAGCATTGTATTAAATTCTTTGTCGTTTTTAACTCACACCCAGCCCATAGAAGTGAAAAATAATCTCAAACCCAGCAAACGCGTCCTACCACAGCCAAAACAAGGAAATCAACGGTGTCATCAAACACAATGAAGAAAAAGTCAAAAAGCTAAACCCTTATCCTTGCGGACAGCGGAATCTATGAAAACCCTGAGACTTTTACCAGCCTCGGGTGTAATGATGGAGGTTCTCTAGCATCGGTGGGGTTCGAACCCACGCACCCGGGCCGTAAGGGGACGTTCCTCATCAAAGAAACGCCTGGCGATCCCATTGCGCCATGAGCTGTTGAAGAGATCCAGAGGAGCTCCAACATATAAGGGTAGGCCAGGAGGGCAACCTTGGAATGAAAGAGTGGGTGGGGCTGAGGCTTGTGGCTGGACGTGAGAGGTGATGTCCATGAGGGAAGGAAAGCGATGGGCGAGGTAAGGTAGGAGAGGGTGGCCTCGGGAGCAGCTGCTATGGGTTTGTCTTTGCGACTTTACCTCCAGAGATACTTGTTCGTTGCTGCACAGTTGGACACGATGTCAAATGGGTTGACACAACCTTGCGCTGCGTAAAAGGCCCAACACATATCAAGACTTAATTATGAAGATAAAGTGAATGGCACTGTACCTCTTTATATCTTTATTCAACTTCCCTCGGCATGAGGAGCCTTATGAGCAGTAGTAAAGCAAATATTTCACAGAGAACTAACTTTTCAACAATTGCCATATGTAACAGAGCGGCCTACGTCTTTGGAGCATTCATGTACGGTAGGCCCTAACCCCTCTCAAGTTAGTAGAGGACGGCGTGATATCTCACTCACCAGGGCAACAACTCTCACCTTTCGCATACTTCCAAGGCAAACCAACCTTGAGACAACAACCCAATGCCTCTCATCCGGCGAGCAGAGTTAGACGAACATGAGTATCTCACGCCATAGTCAAGACCGAAGCCGAAAGCCCAAACACAACCATCAACCCCTGACCAGACAGACACAAACATCCAGTGAAAGTTTTGATTGTACAGGTTTATCTATGATACAACAGCGTTACACATCCTCTCTACCGTTCCTCAAACTTCTCCCCCATTTTTTTAAACCGGGCCAAGAAATCAACACATGCTCACCATGTGAGCAAAATCTACCGGTCCACCATCATGTCCCGTACACTGGCGAAGTAACCCCGGTCCAGCACCTGAGGAAGCTCATCCCTGGTCAGCCACTTGAACTCCTTGTACCCAAACTTGTTGGCCGTCAGGTCCGCCTGGCCCGCCATGATGCGGCCCTTGAGGAAGAAGGTCTTGCTGCCCCGCTCAAAGAGCTTGCCGCTCCGGACCTGCGTCTTGGCCACGTGCACGGCGGCCGGGCCGCGGCCGACCATCCACGTGTTCATGTTGACGCCCGCCGTGTCGTCGAGGATTCTCTGCGCAGCCTGTGAGGAAAGGTTGAATGTTAGTACAAATGAATCTCAGAGGATAGAGAGGGCGAGGGGGGGGGGGGGGGGGGGGGGTGGAAATGGGAAAAAAACTTACCTCGTGAAGGTTCTCCTCCGTAGACAACCCCGCCGCAGGAAACTCCCAAACATCCTTTTTGCGACCAGCCTTCCTAACAACAAGGTACAGCGTCCTATCCATGGCGCGATCCAACCTCGTCTGGTCCCCCTTGACATCCGCCTCCGACACCCGCGCCGCCAACGCCTCAGGCGGCGCCCGATCCTCCTCGGGAATCGTCTCGGCGTCGTCGCTTACGCGCATCACGGCGTCCTTCAACAAAAGCTCCACCGCCGTATCGTGCTTGCTCAGCCCGTCGCCGACAGCCAGCTCGTCGTCCCACGCCGTTGACGCTTTTCCGTTGTACACGCCCAGCTCCTTGGCGACGGTGCCCTTGCGGTCCTTGACCTTCATGTTCCAGTCAATCAGCGCCGGCGTGTCGGGCTTGAAGTAGACGGACGTGATGAACGGCATCGTCAGGCGCTCGTTGAGGCGCTTCTGGTAGAAGAAGTAGGACTGCTCAAAATCCGTCAGGGGCCGCGTCAGGAGCGGCGCCCGCGTAAGGATCACGCCCGCGCGGATCGAGGATGTCGGGATCGTGATGTCCGCTGCCGCCTTTGGATCGGTAGTTTTTCTGGCTTTTGACGAAAGAGGAGGAGGAGGGGGGGGAGCGTCGGTCGTGGTCGTGGTCGTTGCGGCCGAGGCGGCACCCGAGTACGCTCGCGAGGGAGCTGGAGCTCTAATCTGGACCCTCGCGCATTGTCTGCAGACGGGGGTTGCTGTACAGGAGCTCAAGATCAGCCAATTATCTCAGGGTTCATCTGAGGATGCAAACATACATTGTATGCGCCCGAGGGCGGCGAATGCGCCTCTGCTGGAAGCTGCCATCTTGGAAATCGCTGGGTGTATGGGGTCTCCTCTTTGACACCTCAGTCGAGAATCTCCAGATTGGAATTGAACTTTTTTGCTGCTCAAGCTCACCAAAGGTACGTACCGGATTGCCGGGGCGGCGCTTACCTAAGGCAGGACGACCAGTATGGCAATACCTATGGTGCACCGTGCACCATGACAGTGCCTCAAATTGTACCTGAATAGCAAGGTCGATCATGACAGACGCCCGGGTCAACATCGCGCCTGACAAGCGCAGGTCTCAATAACGTAAGCAGGAGTAGCGGGGCCTGGTGTGGGACCGCGCAGAGCCTTTATCAACTCAACGCCCTGCCGCCAGACTTTTCTGCTTTCCTTCTTTTTCCTCTTCACGGCACCATTTCCTTATCGTCAAGACCTGTTCCGCCTCCAGAACGTCCTGATCATTTATTACGGTGCCCAGAGTAAACAGCAGTCTTTTTTCGCTAGCAGCACCTGCAATCTTTTTACTGGGTTATACTGTTAGATAGTTACTGCAAACACATCAGCGCTCTTGACTGCTGTTTAAGAACGCCCGGCTGGCTCTCTGCTGCCGTATCACAGAATCCATGAAGGACTCGCGCTATGCTGCAAGCAGTGCATCGCGATAACCGCATTTGCTGCTCTCCATGTCACTTGATGCTGCTGACTGTACTATTGTAGAGATTGAGCGTGTTTACGAGCAAGATAGCTTCTCGTTGAGAATCGTAATGCCCATTCGTCGTGTCGTCGTCTATCTACTTACTACAGTACAAGAAGCCTTTCCAGCTTGAATTTAGGCCTCGCCTTTCATCGAGTCTCTCTCCAAAGAAACCCGAGCGACTCGAGCTACTGCAAGACTCCGCCCCTATGATACACCTGTGCCTCTCACCCTCCCTATCCCAGAGACGGGAAATTCAAAGTCGAAAATTTTCAAAAGAAGCCACCTTCAGATGGAGTGTTGGGGTATTAGACCGTTTGGTTCGCTGCCAAACACCAATAACGCCTGATGCCCGATACCGTTCGTTCCTTTATGCTGCCGAATGCTGATCAAGCCTTGAGTTCCTCAATCGCACGGGCCACCTCTTTGGTAGCGATCTTCTCGCATGTCTTTTTGGCATCATCGTCCAGCGTCTGCGGATCGCGAAGGCCCTCGTACAACTTGCGAGATACATCCCGATTGATGTTTGCATATTGATCGGTCGTGAGCTCCTTTGCGCGCCAATGAGGCTTGAGAGCAGCCCGGACGATGCCGCTGATTCTCTCCTTGGTCTCAAAGGGGATGGCAGATCGCGTAGGCGAAGAATCCTGAGACCGAGCAAATGTCGGTCTCTGACGGTTCGGCCGCTGTGGGCGAGGTTGGCGAATTTCCGCGCCGTTCGATCGACTGTCAGAGTCACTACTGTCCCCAGCATTTCGAGTCGGCGAGTAGTTGGCCTTGGGAAATCGCGGTTCCACATAGGAGCTCAGGGAGAGCGTAGGTGAGCTAGGCCGGGGATGAGGTGGCGGGGTGAGGGAAAGCGCCCGCGGTGAGTTTCGTGATGATGGTGAGGGGGATGTGACAGGTGAAGAGGGGTCAACACCAGAGTGAGTGCCGAAATAGTTCCGCAGAGTATCGTCGTCGGAAGGTGCGCTCATCTCCACCTCCTTGAGCAGCGACGACAGAAAAGATGGTCCGGGTTCCGTGTTAAGGGGAGACTGAACGCGCTGCGTAGCACCGCCGTTCGTCTGAGGTCTCGATGCCAGAATGCTCGTCGACGCGGGCGACGAAATTATCGTAGGTGCGGGGGCGAGTGCGGACGCATTGGTAGGAACGGCGCCCGACGCGGTGCCGGATGCAATTCCAGATCCAGATCCTGATCCCGACACTGAAGCTGAGGCAGAGCCCGATCCGGAGCCTTCTCCCTGCAAAGGCAATCGACGTGTACGAGGTCGCTTCAGCTTGCGCTCGGGTTCCTGAGCGGGTTCTTTAGGAGAAGCCGTGGTAGATCTCGACTTTCGCTTGCGGGTGTTGGGAGCGCTCGTCTCGGCGTCGCGAGCCCTCTCGAGGGCGCCCCAAGCCTGCTGCTCCTCTCTCGTCTCGGGAGCTGGCGGAGAGGGCTGCATAATGGGTTCGACTGGGCCACCGTCGAGGCGATGACCAACGGTTGGGCGGATGTTTCTTGCAAAGATGTCTCTGGCGCCTAGGCGACTGGCGATGCTCATGCGCTGTTCCCAGTCTTGGTGCTCTTGGATATCGCGAAAGTGTCCTCGTTGGGCTTGAGCGCGTCGAAACCCCTGAAATAAGTCTTCGTCTTCGTGATTGTCGAGGTCGATGTCAGTAGCATCGTAAATGCGACTCGCAATCCGGTCCCAGGCGCCTTGCCACTCGAGGGATCTTGCCTCCCGTCGTGCGTTCCTAGCTTGCAACTGGGTTCGCAACAGGCCTCTTTGAGCGGTAACGTTCCGTCGGTTGGCTGATCGTGCAGCCGGGTTCAAAGGCCGTGACTGGATCACCTCGACATCCGAAACCTCACTAGGGCTGGATCGGCTGGCGTTGTTGTTCTCGTCACACTCAAAGCAATACCAGGACTCGGTCTGGGGGACACCAGACAGCCCGATACAGTGTGTGTGATAGGCTGCATTGCAACCATCACAGAGGAGCAGCACCTCTTCATGATCCGAGGACTCGCAAATGGGACAGGCAGGACTCGGCTCCTCGCCCTCGCCCTCAGGGTTCTCCTGAAGCCATCTGTGGATATCAAACTCCTGCTCTTGCTTCTTGTCTTGGACAGCGTATGAATCGATAGGGGGGCCTGGTATCATAATGTACGTTAGTGTCTTGTTGCTGCCGCTGCGAGCGCCTGTTGCGGATCGGGGTGTTTTGATACGTACCGTTGAGCTCAGATGAGAGGCTGACCTCATTGAAGGGTGTACGGCAAATGGGGCAAGTGTTGGAGTTCTTGGCCCAACTTCTGATGCACTGATCGTGGACTACGTGATTGCAGCCAACGAGGGTAGCAATGTAGTTTGACTCTGGTCCTTCCAATATTTCGAGATCTGAGTCGATGACACGGTACGTTGGCTGTATTGTTGTGGTGGCTGCTGTTGCTTTTGCGGCTGCTGGGCCCGCTCCATTTGCAGCAGCGTCTTGCTGCTGTTGCTGCTGTTGCTGCTGCTGCTGCTGCTGCAACGAGGGGTGCTGCAGCGACTCCAGGCATATGATGCACTGATCCGGTTCAGTCATTGTGGCAACTGTGGTAGTATCGCTTGAGGTTTGATGAATTCATAAAAAAACGTCTTTGAGCAGGGCCAACGTATGGCTTTGATATTGCAAAGAGATATGACGTGGATCTTGTTGTTGTAGCCGTGATTGTGCGAACTTGTTTATGGGTTTTGTTGCCTTGTTGTGTCGGTCGTGGGGTGGTGAGGTAAGGTAAGGTAAGGTAGGGGAAAGAAAAAGAGAGGTGCCGAGTCGTTCAGTGCCTGGTCGTGGTGGTACGGTGTAAGGTACCTGAGGTGGACGGCTGTCGGGGGTTGCTATCAGTTGAGTGAACAAACGCACGACCAACTGGGCAGGTTGCTGAAGAGTGGGAAGGGTACGAAGGGTACGAAGGGTACGAAGGGGGGGCCACTTTGGGGTTGGAGGGGAAAGTGGAAGGTGGCCCAGGTTTGGTAGGTGAGTTCGGTATGTTCTGCGTTTCTGGCTGGAGATGGATTGTCAGTCGGTTCGGTGGATGTTTCGCCGCTGCGCCAAGCAGGGAAACCAAAGCAGCAGAAAGGTCGAGGAAAATAATGTACAATAAAATAAAGTGGCCGGTGTGGAGAGAAGAGGGGGCTTCAAAGTTTGGCTGGCAGTGCTTTTTGGTGAGGCGAGACAAACAGGAAGAGTGAGTAGGGAGAAAAAGGGTCAGGTTTGGTCGCCTTTCTTTCTCAAAGTGCAGGTGAGGTATGTTCGTGGGTAAGGTGCCCACTGGTGGACGGGGGCGGTAAGTGTATGGTAGATGCTCTCAGTCTCTCGGTGCTGGGCTGAGAACTGGACGGGAATTGTAAAAGGAAAGGTTTGGAGAGGCCAGAACCCCAAGGCGGTTTTTTGCGAGCTTAGCGCGTGCCTACAGCTGGGATCAACTGGGGCCAATCAACGGCCGGCTGATGCAGCGGTGCGCCACGCTCCTGGCTCCTTGCACCTTCGTCCTTCGTCCTTTTGCACCCCGTCCTGACGCTTCGCGGCTTCCCAGTCGGTAGGCCCACTGGGCTGGACTGTGGACACACTGGACAGGGACCTCATGGACTGCATCCCATGCCTCCACCAGCAACGGCAGCACCCTCACAGTCACACTCGGTCACTCACACACACCCGTAGATACAAACGTGCACCTAGACGCATGCTCGAGGCAGGTCGACGTACTGAGACGGACCGGACTAGCCCACTAGGGCGGCTGCAAGAGCACATACCCGACTCTCCATGGATCGATGCAGGAGAAGGAGCATCAACACCAGCCGGAGGCAACATCTCACCTCACGGACATCCCACGCCGAGAAAAGCACCAAGAACCTCGGGAAGTAGGATATCCTGGTGAGAGATGTTCCTGAAGCAGCAGCTTCTCCTCATCCTCGGCAACACTGTCCATATGGCAGTGTAGGTAGGCAGGTAGGTACGTACGGATACCTCTGACGGGAAAACAAAAAGAAATCGATTCGGTACGTACCTTTGACTTGGCGCCAGGACCCAGACAACGGCTGTGAGCTTGCGTGGTTGCGTTACTTCGAGGTTGCGTTTGCCGGGCTTTTTCTCCTCACGACTCGACTGCTCCCCTCTATCGTCTTTCGGCCAGCCCTCCAATCAGGTAGGTACTGAATGACAGACTGCCAGAAGCAACGGAGAGTGAAAGAACTATGTCCGGGAGAAACGGTAGGAAGGTGGAAGGTAGGAAGTGGGCGGCGAGTCAAACACTCTACTTGGCTCGTGCGACGTTGTTTGGTGACTTTTTGGTCAGGTACCTCGATCCAGCTGAGCGTGGGTGTGATGGATCATGGAGAAAGTCTTAGGTCGGTTCAATAGGTAGGTAGATACCTAGGTAGGTGGCGTATGGCGTTGGGAACTTGAGACGCCTTTGATGGAGGGCAAGGTGTGAGGGCGTCTACGTCAGGCCCTCCTGTCAGGTGTAAATCGTACTTTGTAATAGCTCAAAGTGTTCTTGATGTGAGTGCAAGTGAGATGAGGCAAGACGAGGAAAGACAAGGAGGTAGTGTTCCGAATTAACGCGCAAATACGGCAACGTCAGCCCGAGTCATAGGAAGGGGGGCATCTAAAGACAACCGCGGGACAAGCAGGAGGATTGATAACGTGCAACGGTGAGAAGCGGTCGAGGGCGGAAGAATGATGGTAGCTGAAGAGGTAAAGTCGGGGCGCAGGGCGTGAGTATTCGGCGCTGGAATGGGTCAGGTCGACAATGGGTGCTATCTCCGCTTCCAAAAATGGGTTGCACCCATTACAGGTTGACGGAGGTCGGGGTGGGGGGGGCAAGGGCAGGCAAATGGGCAATTGCCAATTGGGGGAGAGAGGTATGTGTGTGTGTGAGAGAGAGAGAGGGAAACTAAGGTACGGCCCTGTGTCCGTAAAGCAAGGTACACGTGAGACCTTCATGCCCCTCGTTTCTCGGAGGCCGACGAGATTGGTTCGATGGGGCCTGGCCTGCGTCAGGTTGCGACCCCAAGCCCAGAGTCCGGTCTATTCCTTGGTGCTTGGTGTGCCCGAGCGACCTTTTTTCCATTAATCCATTAAATCATTGATTGTTCGTTGACGGCCGCTCGTCCCGGTTGCTACCTACTTTGCCTTTCCCACGTTTAATTGCCAAGGGGGACAAGATACGGGAAGGTGAAGAAAGCCTGATCCAAGAAGCGGCCAATTTGCTGGCGGATGTGTATGGCGTTCTATACCCATGTGAACCTGCTCTCGTTTACGGCGGCATTTCCGCGCAGCGCAGGATCACGGCCCGTCATCCTCTAGCCCCCCAAAGTATGCTGCTTACACAGTACCTTGGTGGGATTCTCGGCTCGCGGGTGTGTGTCCATGTATGTGCGTCCATCTGCTAGCATACGTGCAGCGTCTTCAGAAACAGGGTCGAGGTGAGAAACTCACCGACTTACACGGGACACAGAAAACCCACCAACGTGCTTTTTTGGTTTACTCGTCTTCACCGCGACAGCCGGGCCGCCTCATTGGCCCGCCGCCTAACCGCAGCCGATGTTCGCGTTTTGTAAGTCTAGAACACCCGTATGATTCAAGCAGTGATTCGACGTGGCATCCCGTAGCGACTGCCGCGCACTTGTTCGCTTTGCTTCCATCATGGCCTTAATCGAGATTTGAACCCACCCCGGAATTTTGAGACGACTTCCGGGCGTCGTAAAAACCTTGTTAGAACACGCGCTCTAACGCAGGCCAGCCGCAAGCGGCATATCTAGGCACCTAAGCGGATCATCCCCCTCTGCCTTGCTCGACTTGTAGGTGACTCGACGTCAACGTGGACACCTTGACGGCCCTGTACTCAACCTACGCTGGATCACAAGTTACGGAGCCTTACGGGGGTATCTTTCATGACGACTGGAGCAAATCTTTTTTGACGTTGCGTTGGGTGGCCCGCTTCGACGCTTTAACCACGCGGCTGAAGTGACGGGGTCGATGACTCTATCCATGCCAACTAACTCCACACGCCCTGCCATATGACCTCGGAACGCTCTTCACCACTTCACGTTGTGACTTGCCTGAGCAGGTCGGTGGGCGTATCTCAAGGAGGGAGGGGAAGCGATCGGGAGGGGACGTTTTGTTGTACGTCAAGTTCTTTTCATTGCTGACCAAATGGTCCCTCTGGCAGCTGACCGAAGACCCGTTCCGTTATGGCCATCGTCAGGATGTAGGCACGATATCCGATTTTCCCAACACCGCCCGAAATGCAAAGCAGAAACCATCCACCATTCGTAATCCCGTCCCTTAAACCTCAGCAATCTCTCTCAGACGACGGAGAGTGGAGCGCATGGCAGCAGCAGCGGGGGTGCTATTGCACGTTGTTAGCATTCTGTTTTTCGTTGCAAACCATGTTCGAGTGTGGGAACATACGCGACAGTGTAGGCACCGCCAGCAACGGTCTTGTTGCAGCCTCTGCAGTTCCAGATGCCGGTGGAGTGGCGCTTGACGGTAGGCTTGCCGCAGAAGGTGCAGGTGTACTTGGCGTGCTGGGAGATTTCCATCTTCTTGACCTGCTTACGTAGGGAGGCACCGTAACGGGTACCGTACTTTCCGGTCACTCCGACCTTCTGTGAGTTTGTTAGAGATCTGTGGCTTCAACGTTGAGGATACCTGGCCCATCGAATTCATGTCAAAGAGCCACCTGGCAGTAAGTAGCTCCGAGCTGCAAGTCGAGACGAGAGAGATTCAAGGTGCGTTGAGAGGTGTCGCCATTTTTCGTGCTGGAGTTCGCGAAATCCGAGTTGTCGATGTTGTGAAAGAGTCTGTGAGTTGCACAAGTCGGTGTTCAAGGTCAATTGTTGACAGCATCTGCCTTTCTGGCGTCGTGGGATTCCGTCAAAGATGGCGTTCGGGGTCGTTCGATCGTTGCGCATGTCTCTCTCTCGTCGTCGTCGTCTCGCATTGCGCTCGGTGCTATTACGTAGGCGGCCTACTTGTTTGTCCCTACCCAAACCACCATACCGAGCCCTTGATAGATGCCATCGTCGCCAATGAGGGAAGATCGTGGGCCGGTGTCGACGCGGGGTAGAGAAGTCCAAGCAATGACGGGAAAGTCGATGAAGCCATTCGTCCTGGATGGGATAGTAGAGCATTACGAACCTTCGTGCGCTTGGCCATTTTGTCGAATTTTGGGGGGGAACGGGTTCGTTGACTTGAAGTGCGACGAGTGGTGTTGACGGTTCCTCCAAGGCGGTTGAAATTTCTAGAGGATGGTGTTGAATTTTGTCAGGGCTTGCCGACTCCGTTTGTGCGCTGGGAAAGCGTGCACGGACCACAGTTGACGCGAAAAAAAGAAGGCGGCAGAACCCCGGCAGTGGGGTTTGCACCCGCCCTGACGCAACTTTCGGGTCCATGCTCCAGAGTCGCAAAAACTTGACCCCATCCTTTCACGTGATCATGCACCTGACTTCTACCAGCGGCTTACCTAACCACCGACTTGGCGCATTGTTCAAGAGGGCCTCTTCAAACGCCCGGGGAGGAGGCCGGGAGATCGGCGTCACAGCTGTCCGCTCGGCCCTTCTAAGCCGTAAGTGGAAAGCACAGCGCCCGGGTGGTTGTCACGAAGACGCTAGACCGCCGAGGCAGCGCGGACCAGATGCCTTGAACAGTTGATATCGCCGTTTGCTACATCACAAAGTTTGCGCTCTCGACGGCCGCAGCGTGGAATGTGTCACCTCAATGGACAGCGAAACGGACACATTTTCGATGGATCATCGTGCATCTGTGAAAGGGGCCGGACATTGGTGCCACTTTTCGTGGCGTGCTGGGATATGTAAAGATGGCCGGCCGCCGCATGACTTTTGAGTGCAATCGTTGATGTCTGAGACTCGCACCCAGACTCTTTTCTTCTTAATTCCTGCAACTGCGTTTCTTTCCTTTTTTCCCATCAAAGTCAAATTCTCATTGAACAACATATCGTGCAAGCGCCAGAGATGCCTTTCAAGCAACATGGCCGTCAGTACGACTTGGTTGTTTTTGGTGCTACCGGTGTGTATAAGTCGAGGGAGGACCATGGTGATGTAACTCAACGGCCAACTGCTGACAATTGCAAACAAAAGGCTACACCGGGACGTTCGTGGCAGAGCACATTACAACCCATCTACCGACCAATTTGAAATGGGCGGTTGCAGGTCGATCGGAGACGAAGCTCCAAGATCTTGTTCATGAGTGCAAGAAGCAGAGTCCCGACAGGTTGCAGCCCGGTGAGTGAAAGGGTTTTAGTTTATGCCGAGATCAGATGAGTGTCTGATCTTCGCCAGCCAAGTGACTGTTTCGGCGTCTTCCATTTTCAATCGTGCTGGCAGTGGACGAGTCTACCACACGTTGGAGATGGCGAGCCGAGAAACAGCTTGCATTGGAGGGGAAAGTGGTGACGAGGTGCTCAAGAGAGGGGCTAAATCTGTCATGCAGGCCTAGCCCAATAAGTCACTACCTATCAATGCTAACCACTTCCACAGAAATTGAAATCTGCAGTCTCAACCACGAGGACCTCGTGGCTCTCGCCAAAAAGACATTTATTCTTATCACAACCGTCGGCCCCTATGCAAAGTATGGCGAGTTTGCCTTCCGAGCCTGCGCCGAGAATGGCACGCATTACCTCGATGTCACCGGCGAGACCCCTTGGACCGGCACAATGATTGGAAAACACGAGGGTGCGGCAAAGGAAACAGGCGCCATGATGTTTCCCCAGATTGGAATCGAATCGGCACCGCCAGACCTCGTCACCTGGTCGTTGGCCAAGCAGGTCCGCGAGAAGCTCTCGGCCAAGACAGGCGCCGTGACGGTATCCATCCACAAGCTGGAGTAGGTTCTTTCTTTCCATATCGTCCTGCCATCGATGATTGGGGTTGGGGTGCCGGTGAAACATTGACAGAACGTTGCTCTAACGCCGAATTTTGTCTGTTAGTTCGGCTCCGTCTGGCGGTACCCTGGCGACGGTCCTCAACTTGTTTGAGTCATTCACGATCCAGCAAGTAAGAGAGCAGCACAAACCATATGCTCTTTCGCCCGTGCCGAACAACAACAAGGTTCAGTCGCAGACGTCCCTGCTGACCAAGTTGGTGGGATTGCGAAACGTTCCCAGCCTGGGACTGATGACTACGTCGATTGCTGGGATGACGGATACGCCCATCATCCAAAGAACCTGGGGTCTCTTGGCATCGGTGCCTTCGCGTGAGAAACAATTCTACGGACCAAACTTTTCGTTCCACGAGTACATGAGAGCAAGGGGTTACCTTCAAGGAATGGCTATTCACTGGGGTCTTGCCTTCTTCGGCCTCCTGCTTGCGACTGCTGCGCCGTTCCGCAAGTTGGTGAAGAGATTTGTTTACGAACCTGGCCAGGGCCCGGACAAGGAGCTATCAAAGAAGGATAAGATCGAGTATCGTGGTATTGCCAGCCCGGATAAGGAGTCCAAGACGGAGTTTCCCAAGGCTTACTGTCGTGCCTGGTACGACGGCAGCATGTACTACTGTGAGTCTGGTTTCCCCCGATCGGTCGAGGATGACGAAATGCTGACTGGACACACACATATAGTGACGGCTGTTCTGTTGGCCCAAGCTGCATCAACGCTGCTGGAGGAAGACGTCGACCTGCCTGGCGGTGTCTTTACTCCGTCGTGCTTAGGACAGCCGTTCATTGATCGTTTGCAGGGAGTTGGCTTCAACTTTGAGGAGAAGATTTTGGAGCACTGACTGACGAGATGTGGTGTTGGTTCTCAACTGTGTTGTCCACCGATGATGATTTGAGTCGAGGTGGGGTTCGCTTCAATGTAGACTAACTGTTCAAACGCATGCTGTAATTATCGAAACATTATACTCAATTATGAAAAGAACGGGTTCATGTGTGTGACGATCGTTGCCGCGTAAAGTATTTGCCCGCGAAACAAGCTGACAACAGGATGTAACGTCGATTGTCGATGATAGCCAGGGGAGCTTACAACAGCTACCCAGAAGCTACCGTGGCTACCCAAGCAGCCAAGGTAAGCAGATAGGCCAGGGGTTTAGGTTCGCCTTCTACTCCAATCGACGGTACTCCGTACTTGCAGCACGATGCTTCCAGTTGGCACCGGAGATGCATCCTAAATTCCCGCTGTGGAGATGTCGCCGGCGTGCTGGACCGACCTGGAGCGGGCAGCTGGGCGCATACTAGATACCGTAAGGCACCTTACCTTGAAGCACCTCCATAAGCACCTAAGGTACGTAGTGCATTCCATTTGGCACTCGTCGGGTAATTAGCGCACCGAAAGCAGCTTTCCCCGCAGAATTAAAGGAGCACGCAGCTCGAATGGCCAGGCCCAGGAGGCTCCCCAATTCAGTGCAAAACTTAGGACGTCATCAGCCCATGGTGCATGAGGTGAGGTGCAAATCCAGCACCGGCCGGACCCAGCAAGCAAAGCACAGGGCAGTCTCCTTCGCTTTCCACGTCCACCACACGCAGCAGTGACCTTTCTCCGGAACCTCCAATTCCTTGTACTCAGTTGCGACATGCGATAACCCACGAACCGCCAACTTTCTCTTCCACTTTCTCAATCGAACCAGATTTATAGTTTTTTCTTCACTTTTCTTTTCTTTTTTCATATCTGTGATACCCCCCCTAAGCTGTGAGAGAGGTTGAGAGAAAGAGTGAGAGAGCGCTCGCGGAGAGAAAGAGAGAGAAGAAGAAGAAAGAGAAGAAGAAAGCTTTTTTCGAGAATGGACCAGACAACAACAACAACCGCCTCGGCCTCGGCCACCGAGAACACGCCACTACTACCAACGACAGAACTCCGCCCCAAGTCATCGCGAACCGTCACGTTCAACCCGAACCCCGTATCCAAGACCATCGAGCCGGAGCCCAATTTTCAACGATCAAAATCGAGCCACGGCAACAGTCTGGCGACGAGTCCCGGACAGAGCTCGGCTCTATCTTCTATCAACAACAAGCTGCGCAGGAGAAACAGCCATGGCGCCGTGCAGAGCCTACCGCCTCAGATGGTGCCCAAGATCGGTCCCCAGCGAAGCACCAAGAACGCGCAGAAGCTAAAGCTCCTGCCCAACCCCGAGCTCAACGAAGAGAGCCCCGACGAGGAGAGCGGGAGGGACGTGTACTCGCAGTACACCAGGATCAAGGACCCTACGGCGCGTAGGGATGCCGCGCGCCTGGGCAAGGCGGACCGCGACAGGCTGCCCAGGGTGACGGCGTACTGCACGGCGAACAAGTACCAGATGGAAGGGCTCATGCGGTTCCTCAAGGGCCGCGGCAAGTCGAGGGGCGCCAACCCCAAGCTCATTGACGAGTGCATCTACACGGCGTACGACTATAGCAAGACGGTCGAGAACAGGCACGATCGCAGAGTAGGCGCACAGCCCGACCCGGTCCAGGCGTACGAGAGGCGGCACTCGACGGGCGACGTCTCGGACAACGGCTTTGCTCGGGACAACCTCATTGACCTTCAATCTGAGGGCCGGCACGACTCTGGTTTCGCCGACGGGTTCGAGGGCGCCAACAACGAGCATGCCATGGTCGAGTCCAATCCGGACTTTGACACGCAGATCCACACCCCCGAGGTCTTCCTCTTTGACTATGGAGTCGTTGTAATATGGGGCATGACTCTGGCCCAAGAGCAGAGGTTCCTCAAAGAGCTTGCCAAGTTTGAGACGGAGAAGTTGTCGCCAGACGATGTCGAGACGGAGCACTTTAACTTTTACTACACAAAGGAGTATCAGGCCCGTATCTACAATGACTTCATCACTCTAAGGGACAAGAGAAACTACATGACCAAGCTGGCCATTTCTCACGCCCTAGCACAGAGCGTCAAGGTAAGAGACCGTTGACGATCGGAGGGACTGCTCGGTTACTGACATGGTCGGGATAGACATCGCTTTTCGAGGAACTGATTGCTTCGACCGTCGACACTTGTAAAGACATCCCTACGCAGATCGCGCTGACGGGCAAGATCGCCCTCAGCCGCACGCAAATCAACATGCAGATCGGCGAGCTCTTCATCCTCCGCATCAACATCCACCTCAACGGCTCCGTCCTCGATACCCCGGAGCTGTTCTGGGTCGAGCCGCAGCTGGAGCCGGTGTACCAGGCCGTCCGTACCTACCTCGAGATGGACCAGCGCGTCGGCCTCCTGAACGAACGCCTGGATGTCATTGCGGATCTGCTAGCGGTCCTCAAAGACCAGCTCAGCCATGGACACGGAGAGAAGCTGGAGTGGATTGGTAGGCCGACCCCCTTGCCCCTTTTCTTGACCTTGTCCCGTGGCCTTTTGCTGACAGCTCTCATAGTAATTGTACTCATTGCGGCCGAGATTGTCGTCGCAGCCATCAATATCGTGGTTGATTTGTATGCATCGGATTAGTAACATTTATGGCACGCATACAAGTAGGAATTAGGATTCTCTTTTTGCACAGCGGGGTCTTCACAGGCAGGGGAAAAGCTCAGCAATCGGGAAGGTAATTCACACAAAACAGGGCACACAGAACATCCATGAGCCCCGTCGAGTAGCGCAATAGAGAATGAGCTTCACGGCGCAGATCACACAGTGGGAGGATGAGGGTGCTACCCTAGTCAGCTGCAGCAATAACTACTCCATTTCTCAGGAGTCGATTACGGTGTTTCTCTCGTATTGTACAAATAAAAAAAGGAATTTTCTACCCGCAAAGCCCCTCCCCAACGCCAAAATACCTGTTTACACGGAAGCATGTGCTGGGTGCCCATCAGTCATCCGCCTTGTCGTCCTTATCGTCGGCCGCGGGCGTGTCGTCTGCCTGCTCCTCGGTATCGTAGTTGGTCATCTCCACGTCCTCATCCTGTGACGCAGCTGGTGCGGGCTCTGGTGACTTTTCGCGCTCTTCCTCGTCTTCATCCTTGGCCTCGGCGCTCTTGCTCTTGGCCGCGAAGGCATCCTTTTCCTTTTGGTACTTGGCCATCTCCTCCTCGGAGCGGGTCTGGAACTCCTCTTTTTCGCCCTCGGGGAGATCCTTCCAGCCGCGGGCGAGCTCCTCTTCAATGTTGGCATCGGCGTCGTCCTTGTTCTTCTCTTCGAGAGCGGGCCGCGTGTCGGCGCAGTACAGCTCGAACGCGTTCCCGGGGCGCTTGGGCGGCTTCGCGACGCCGTTGGTGCGCGCAGACGCCTGGGTATCGGTGCCCTGGGTCGCGTCGCCGCCCTGGGTGTGGGAAAAGGTCTCGGAGCTGGGCGAGACGGTGGCGGCGGTCTGGCTGAGGGGCCTGGAGCTGGCCTTTGCGGCCGAGTCGATCTCGGCCAGGACGGAGGGCTTGCGGTGACCGCGTTTCGTACGCAGAGGCTTTTCTTGCGGCTGAGATGGTGTCAGCATCCTGCTTTGTCGTCGAGGTGGGCTTGGCGGAGGGCCTACAGTCGGGGGCGGGCTCGGGCTGCCGTCTGAATCCTCCACGTTGGCGCTGGTTCTCTTGGCCAGCTGTTCGAGCAGGAAGGCTCTCTCCATCCGCAGCTTCTCAATTTGTCGTCGAATCCGGGCGAGGCGGACGCGGGTCGCGTCGTTCTCCTCCTCGACCTCGCCGGTGCGCTGCTTGAGCTGGATGCATTTTCGCCGGTAGGCCTCTTCGACGGAGGGAGGTAGGGAAGGCGGAATCGCTGAGAGGTCGATCGCGGGGGGGTTAGCTCGAATGATCTTTTTGGGAGGCATTGTGCGTGCGCGGCTTGTCCGGCGAATTTCCAATCGTATCGAATGTGAAGGGTGGGAGAGGGAGAATTGGCTTTTTCCCCAAGACAAGGTACGGGGGGAATGAGTTGCGACGAGATGGGGTTCGCGGCGGATGTCAAGCGGAGCTTTGCGAGGGTGGTAGGTTCATTGATTTTCCAAGGGAGTTTACAAACGTACCGGATTGCGGAGCCATTATTACGTATTTGCAAAGGTCAAGAGTGATGGAGGTAGTACAGAGCACGCCAAAAGGACGAAGGAGATGAATTGAGGCTCGATTGTGACGCGGATCTGAAGATTGGAGAGTTGGAATTGGGTAAAGGAACCTGGGCCGGGGGGAAGCGCGAGGGAATGGGCGATTGTCGTCAGGAACCAACACGCAGCAAACACGCCAGCTGGGAAGTGCGAGGCTGGCAGCTGCTGTCTCACACAGAAGACAGGAACCTGTGCTTGGAAGCAGGGGGGGTTCCAGTGTTTCTCTCTGGGTCTACGCAGTAAAGGTACCTTAGGTGGACGGGGGGTGGACCGGGTGGTTCCAGCACCTGTTGAAGCTGTGGCTCAAAATTTAGAATGCACCAGATGCGCCGGATCGGAACAATGGCTCGCCTACAGTGTCCTGATTGGTCATCCCCGATACCAGCCCACCAAGGCTGCAGCCATACGCTCCCGCACTACACACGCCTTGCACCCAGACTTTTTTTTCGAAAGGCCTGCCGTAGAGGAGGAGCTTCCGCAACCACATCATCAACACACAGGGTACATTCTACACTGTTGTTTTTGAGCCTCACGACTGACACCGCCCCGATTTACGAAGCGCATCAGGTCGGTGGCCCATCATGTCTCTCAACATCCCCAACGCGCCGAACGCCAACCTGTTTAAGCAGGGGTACAACAAGTGAGTCCCCTTTTTACCAATCTGGAGCTCCCCTCCCCTCCCCCGCCTTGAAGCCCGTCACCGACACTGACCCCTCGTAACCAGCTACGATTCCGAAGATGGAGCTGTCCTTCGCAACATCGACGCCTGCCGGGCCATCTCCTCGACCGTCCAGACGTCCCTTGGCCCCTACGGCCGCAACAAGATTGTCATCAACCACCTCCAGAAGATGATCCTTACCTCAGACGCCGCCACCATCCTCAGAGAACTCGATGTCGTCCACCCGGCAGCCAAGCTCCTGGTCATGGCCAGTCAACAGCAGGAGGCCGAGATGGGTGATGCCACCAACCTGGTCATCGTCCTCGCCGGCGAGCTGCTGAAGAAGGCCGAGGACCTGCTTCGTATGGGCTTGAAGACATCAGATATCGTTACCGGTTACGAGCGTGCACAAAAGTTCGCTCTCGAGACACTCGAGGAGCTTTCCGTTGACAAGGTGGAGGATATCCGCTCGCAAGAGGAGCTCAGCAAGGCCATCCGCACTGTCGTCGCCAGCAAGCAGAACGGTAGCGAGGACTTCTTGGCCGACCTCGTCGCCGAGGCCGTCCTGGCCGTGCTGCCCAAGAACCCCATCGGCTTCAACGTCGACAACATCAGAGTCGTCAAGATTATGGGTGGCGCTTTGGAGCAGAGCAGGGTAGTCAAGGGTATGGTCTTCCCCAAGGAGCCGGATGGATCGGTCAAGAAGGCGCAGCGTGCCAAGGTCGGAGTCTTCTCCTGTCCCATCGACACCAGCCAGACCGAGACCAAGGGAACCGTTCTTCTCCACAACGCCAAGGAGATGATGGACTTCACCAAGGGCGAGGAGTCGCACCTCGAGGCTGCCATCAAGGAGCTTCACGACGTTGGCATCAGAGTGGTCATCGCTGGCTCAACCGTCGGCGAGCTGGCCCTTCACTACCTCAACAGATTCGGCATCCTCGTCATCAAGATTCTCAGCAAGTTCGAGCTGCGAAGGATCTGCAGAGTCGTTGGCGCTACTCCCCTTGCCCGGTTAGGTGCGCCGATGCCCGATGAGATGGGTTCCATTGATGTTGTCGAGACCCTCGAGATTGGCGGAGACCGCGTGACCGTGTTCAGACAAGAGAACGAGGCCACAAGAACAGCGACCCTGGTACTCAGAGGAGCTACCCAGAACCACCTGGACGACGTCGAACGCGCTGTCGACGACGGCGTCAACGTCGTCAAGGCTATCACCAGAGACCCTCGCCTTGTGCCTGGTGCGGGTGCTACCGAGATCCAGCTCGTTGAGAGGCTGAACGCACTTGGCGAGAAGACTCCTGGCTTGTCACAATACGCCATTCGCAAGTACGGCGAGGCCTTTGAGGTCATCCCGAGAACGATTGCCGAGAGTGCCGGTCTGGATGCCACGGAAGTCCTCAGCAGGCTGTACGGAGCTCACCACAAGAAAGACGACTGGGCCACCGGTGTCGACGTTGAGGTAAGCGAGATGATCTCGTATTTTCTGGAATGCCATGCTAACTTTGCTAGAACGACGACGGCTCTGGTACCCTTGACGCCCGCGACGAGGGCATCTTGGACCTGTTGGTCTCCAAGTCATGGGCCATCAAGCTCGCCACTGAGGCAGCCCGCACCGTCCTTTCCGTTGATCAGATTATTGTGGCTCGTCGGGCAGGCGGCCCCAAGCCTCCTGGCCCCAACCCTGTAAGTCATACCCTCTGCGTACATCGGTTGCAGCGTGCTGACATTCAGTTTAGAACTGGGATGAGGACTAAATGGGTATATACGGCGGCTGGTAATGGAGTTCATGTCGGTTTTGATGATCATAGACCACCCCAAAAGTCACGTCGAGATATCCCGAATAGATTCCTAAAGACAGATGCAAGTGCGCGCGCACGCCCAACGTAATGTATTCCAACGTCTAAGATTAGGTCCCAATGGACGTGACCTCTCCTCGCCAGAGGGTTCGGCTGAGCTCACAGGATAAATGTACGGTGAGACTGGGGCATGGCTCTGGTATCAAGAATTACGCTCCTGTCATAATCAGGTAATAGTACTTTTGGTGACTGTACATAATAGTCGTAAAACTCCCACGCACGTCACCTCAACGTTTCTTAGGCCTGTCGCAGCAACAAATCATCATCTGGGTTCTTCCTCTCATGTTCTGACTTGCGTACAACGGAGACACCAACGGCCTTTGCCAAGATTCACCCGCTTGAGTAATGGAGAGATCAGAACGTTCAGGACAGAAGGCCTAGGGAGTTCCGTTGTTCATTTAGGAGATCGTGGCCAGGAGAGGGGCTTAGAATCATGAGCTCTTAAGACACCCCTAAGTCACCTCGCTGCGAGGGCCAGGGGGCATGCAACACACAACCGAGTTCACATTGGCATCATCACTCATTGACGGAATGCCAGGTTCCGCATCACAATAGCATGAATTCGCTAGATCGCACGTACTGCATTGGGGCAGAACAGTCGGTAGACTGTCGCGCTCTGTCCACGGTAAGAAGACAATCTACAAGCTAGCTTCTCTCACGCGTGCCAGAGGCCATTCAAGCGGCGGCAACCTTGAAACCTCCCGGCATCAGATCCGTAAACACTCTAGCGGGGTCATATTTGTTCCGAATCTCCTTCAAGCGGTCGAGGTTTCCCCTGGGATAACTCTCAAAGACAGGCTGGCCGACATCTGCCTCGTTCAGGTAGTAGAACGGATACAGTGCGCCCATGGGCTCCAATCTCTCCCTGACCCTGGCGTTGAACTCGCTGATAAAGGTATCAAAGATTTTGTCGTCCGCCTCGTCTGCCCAGCTGTACGTCTGCTCGATCCAGCACGCAGGCGACTCGTCGATGCCCTGCAACGCACCCGGCCGGGCGTTTGTGGCTGCGAGAAAGGCCGAGGTGATGGGGTTGAAGGCGAAGCCGATGATGCCGCCACGCGTCTCCTTGAAGGTGGCTTTTGCGAGCTCGAAGAACATGTCGTGGGCGATGAGCATTGCCTGCTTGCTGGCGTAGATGGGGAGCATGTGGAACCGCTGTCTTGAGCCGTAGGAGCGACCTCCCTTTTGGAACGATGGTACAACGGCCTGGTGGTATTGCCCCATGGGAAACGGTGCAAGGGACCTCGAACTATTGTCCGGGGTGAGTACGGTACCGAGAAAGTCTGCCAAGACCGCCGGCTGAGTGGTGTTTCCGTTGTAGAAGAGCGTTGAGGAGTACGTTGGGCCATCCGTCCCGCTGACATAGGTGATGACGGGCAGAACAGCGGCCTTGGGATCGTTGTGCCCTTTGATGGCGAAGTTGTATACGCTATCGATGAACTGTTGCTTGACCTCTTCGCCGCCATACGAGGGCGACGCGATCATCAGGGACGGGGCGCGGCGTGTTTGAAGATCGAATCGAGTAACTAGACAGAACGAGTTTCCGCCCCCTTGGAGGGCCCAGAAGAGATCTGCGTGCTCGTTTGTGGAGGTGACTTGCGTGATGCTGCCATTAGCCAAGACGCACTGGTTCTTTCGTGTTAGTTGCTTTAGATCTGAGGTTGAAGTCCGCGGTGTATCACAGACCTCATATGCCTTGATATTGCCGTTGGTCGACGCTAGACCGTACTCGTAGCTGAAAATGGAAACGCCGCCCCCCAGCAAGAGACCGGACACGCCGATTGGGCTGCCTCGACCGCCGAGGACGGTCACGCCTGTGCCGTCGAGCGTCGTGTATACGTCGGACCATCGGAGTCCAGGGCCAATGGTCAGCGTGTCTCGGTCGTTGGAGAGCTGGAGGGTTCTCATGTTCTTGCTCGTTATCAAGATACCGGTAGCGCCGATGCTGCTTGCGTTGGAGATGGGCATGTGTCCGCCTCCGCGCATTGCGAACTCGACTTGGTGGTCTACAATACGCTTGAGACCAGATGATAGTTGCTGGACGTTGAGGGGTGCGAATATGCACGCTGGACGGAGCCAAGATCTCGCGGACCAGGGGACTGGGCAGTGGTTGAGGTGTTAGTGGGTCCAACACTCAAGTTGAAAGAGTCAGAGGAATACTGTTCTCACCTTGGACTTCCTCGGTGTAGGATTCGTCTTCAGGGAGGAGAGTCGAGTTGCCAAAGTCTCTCCTGAGGCCCTGGCAGACTTTGGGTGCCTTCTCTGCGCATGATACTTCTGAAGCAGCAGCCACGGTGACCAATCCGGTCAGTAAGAGATAGATAGCATGCATCATGTGAAATGGAGGAGCGTAGGTAGAATGGAATATTCAGACAATGGTGTCAAGCTATGCGTATCTGTCTCCTTGGACGACAACTCTTGAGGCTTTTATTGTATTCAAAGGCGCGTCCATCCTCTCAACTTTCCGAGCATACCGCCGGTAGACAGTTTCTCCGTCGGGATACAGTCGCCCCATGCGACTCCTCAGGTGGACAGAAGCAATCTCAATGGCTCCAACTTACTTACTACCTTGGGTGCACAAAGTTGGATAGGAGATCAAGTCTCGGCTGTGGTAGTTGCGACGGGAACCCCCTGGGCGACAACCGTCGTTTCAATGATCTCCTCTACAGTGAGTACGCTTAGCAGTCAATGTCAAGCTAGGCAGAGCAGCAACCTCGTGGCTAGCTCTAGAAGGTAATAAATAACCAAGACTCTAGTCTACGCCATGTACTACGACAATCAGCAAGAAACATGAGAGCAATCTTATATGGCGCGCGAGGGACCTTTGAGACTCTTCAGCAGCAAATATATCATCTCTGCGTACACGTAAGCATTTTGATGAAGTTGTATTAGCTGTATGATGAGCCGGAAGTATCAGCATAGCTGATCAGCGTGTGTTACAGCAGCTCAGAATCATAAGGTAAGTATCTATGTGGGTTTATCCGTACTACCTAGTAATCTATCCGGTCGGCTTTTCGACCAGTATGGTACACCACTATTATAACACTAAGTTGTCTGGAAGAGCCGGTTCTGGTTCACGACTCGAGTAGTATCCAGATGCGGTAACGAAGAACGAAAGCGAACCCGAAAAGCAGGTAGTGGAAAAGTAGGGACTTGCACGCAAATGACTGTCTTGGCGCCCAATGTATGTCCCGTATCGGGCCAGCAATTGGGCCGATGCCGCGTCTTTGTACTTGATCCTACGCGAAATCAATGGGGACAACTCTTTCGAGTTCATCCGATGCTGTTCAAAGTCAAAGTCAATTAATCTTGGAGGCTTTTCTTCTCGTTCCTCTTGAGTAAATCTCTAGTTCTTCTACAAGTGCCACAGAAACCAGCCGTGATTTTGTCCTGGCACAGTCTCCGAACCACGAACAATAGACGCCACCCTGGCCACAGACTGCGGCTAATTATGTGTCTCGTGTAAACATAAACTACCTAAGTACGGATACGTGACTGTACTTTGCTTTTACTCTAAATATTGGAGGTGAGGCAGTCCGAGACTCCATTCCTTGCCTCTATTCACCATTCTTCTGGGATAGCAAGCGCTTTGCGCGGCCCGAGGCCATGACCACCATTTGTGCGGCGGCGTTCCATTCATTTCCAGACCTCCCTGTCGAAATTCGCAGTCGTATCTGGGAGCTCACAGTCGAGCCCCGCGCCATCGAGGTGCGCGTGATTTACCATCAATCAAGCCCGACAGCCGTCAAAGAATCCGGACTGGGCGTGCAGATGGTGGACCGGAGAGTGAGGCAGCCGCCGCCGATGCGCCACCTGCGCTCGTCTACCCCAACCCCGGCCCAGCTGCAAACGTGCCGCGAGGCCCGTGGGCACCTGTCTACACATCGTGACACAAGATATCGATACGAAAAGGCCTTTTCTGAGATCACCAAGACACCGTATGACGGGTTCGACCCCGTGCCCGAGGGCGACCCACAGCTGGAGCACTATGTCTGGTTCAACTTTAATAAGGACGTGCTCTCCGTTGGGGACACAGAGCTGAGCGACTTTCGGGCTGTGGCTCACCAAATTTGCCGGTTACGGCTTGAGCGTGCCCTCTCGAACGAGTACTTTTCACGCACAGAGTCGCTATTGATTAGTAGGTTGTTTAGGAATGTTGCCGAGGTTTATTTAATATGTTTAGAGGGCATCAGGTCGGGTTACTCGGTGACTGAAGACATGGAGTTTCCCTGTGGGCCCGAGAACGTCTACTTTGTTGACCCACAAGATATGGGCGGGATGATGATAAATAGTGTTGACCTAGATGCTATGGTGATCATGGAGGGAGAAGACCTTTACGGGCCAGAGGAAGAGGGTTGAGGGAAGACCCAAAAGAACTGTTGCCAATTCTCTTACGACTGTCTACTTATCTGCACTGGAGGTCGTGAATGGAAATTGAAGAACATCCTTTGCTAACAACACATACTATACATGGTGCTCTTAATGACTGTAGACTAATAGCTTAGCCACCAATATTATCGCATCATAGCTTCGCCTATGGCCTGCCTAGGGAGCTGTGTTTGACTCGAAGGTCCCGCAGCTAAAAAAGGGGGATCAAAATATGGTTTACCACTGTGGGAGAAAGATATATTGCATGTGTTCAAATAATTTGGGTGCATGCAGCTTCGACCCTTGAGGCGGAACAATGAAGTAGAGGACAGCTTTACCGACACCCCGGTTCCTCCGGACTGCCTGGAATCCAGAAATAGCTCTTTTCGGAGCTATACGCCAGAATCTTCCGTAGAGCTATTGGTTCTGATCATTGATAAGTTGCTCTGGCCATCTGCCAAGTAGGTGTGTGACACAGGGTGGAAGCTCTCAGAGGCCAACTGCTGTTAGGGGCAAAAGGATGAATTACTGAAACCTGCCCCCTCCCTCGATGCGTGCTTCCTGCGCTATATATATATATAGAGAGAGAGAGAGGAGCTACTACTTTGTTGCTTAGACTCCTTGTCACCCTTTACTTACCCCTATCCGGGAGGGCTCTGACACCATCTGTCGGATTGGAAGTCCAATTCGACCTCGAGGCAAGGGGCCCGCGCAGGGGCCACTTACAGACCATACTTACGAGATCTACGGTCTACCCAACCTCCGGTTAGAACCTCCTTTTTACACCTTACGCAGAAGTTAAATATATATAGATTTTGACCTCTTCGTCACCCACGGTTCGAACCATCCCTGTGATAGGAATACCAACACTGATCAGTGGTTAAATCCCACTATCGCAGATCAGCAAGGCATCTCGCAAGCAGAAGAGACGACCTCCTCGAACGGAACGCGACAGGAGAATCGTGCTACCTACCCGACGGAAAGCAGGCGACAAGACGCGAATCTCTACGACGGAACGAAGTAGAGGAATCGCAGCCCTTGACTGCCCACGAAAGGTCGACGTCCATCACGTCAAAAACAAACCGCAATTGAAGGAATCGCGAGAAGGCGACCAAGCTACCTACGTCGCCCTCACGCGATTTGTCCTACTCAACAATCCACGGGCGGCCCGTACGCCAACAGAGGAAAACAAGCGAAATCACCAGATTCGCCAGATTGGCAAATCCACCGCAGATCTCGACCGTACGACGAAACAGGCCCAATTGGAGGATATAAAAAGGCACCTCAGGACCACAGAAACA